AGATAAACCCTCAGGACCAATATTGAGAGTAGCCATGCCAGGAGGGTAAGGGGAAGATGGTAGGAGATTGGGGGATCCGATCACAATGATCTACCTAGAACTCCCTCCCAGGGGCATGGACAACAGAAAAGTGGGTGAAGGGAGACATCAGTCAGTATAAGACATGAAAAAAAAATTTATGAATTATCAAGGGTTCGTGCGGGATGGAGGGGGGAAAGATGGGAAGCTGATGCCAAAGGCTCACGTAGAAAGAAAATGTTTTGAAAATGATGATGGCAACAAATGTACAAATGTGCTTGACACAGTGGATAGATGTATGGATTGTGATATGAGTTGTATGAGCCCCCAATAAAATGACTTTTAAAAAAGAGCTGTATAAGCCCCCATTAAAATTATTAAAAGAAAGAAAGAAAGAAATGAAGAAGGAAAGAAAGTATTGCTGCACACCCAGGGAAGACCGATGTGTTCTTAGTTTTTAGTGCATCTGCAGCGGTAAAAGGACCATTTTGGGATTTCGCAGTAGCCTTTTATTAGAGGAAAATGAGATTACAGAGGATTAGGAACAGAACCAACGTGGAGTAGTAAGAAGTTAGTAGAATTACCAAGAACAACTGGGTTCATTTCTCAATGGGACCACAGCGAGGCCCTAAATCTCTGGTTGCTAGACCTTCAGCAGCCCAAGAGTATCTCTGATGTCATCACAGGCCATGTAGTTTCTGGAAAGTTCCGCTGCACAATTGTGAGAGAACAAGATGGAAAAGAGTAAATGCATTTTTTAAAAATTTTGAACATGGAAATAGTCTGAACCTTACAGGCCCAGTAAAGGGGGACTTCCCCAGAATGACAGGGGTCGATTAGCAGGATCAGCCAGAAGTATTTTAATGGAGCTCAGGAATTCACTGGGTGAGACTCTGGCTAGCTTCATGGCTTCAGCTTCAAACTTTTCCAAATAACCATGGCATGTGCTTTGGCAGGTACTTGGGCTTCACGCAGCAGTATTTACTATTTGTGCAGTAGACGTAGACCTCTTCCCTCTTGAAGCATCGCGGGCGGCATTTGCCTCGAAGGTTCCAGCATTTTTGGGTGTCGCCTGCCACAGGAAGGAGAGAAGAAGAGAACAGGGTTAGTCCTAAAAGAGGGAGGTCCTGCATTTGAACGGCTCATCACACAGGCGTGATAGAGGCCCCCACTTTTCTTTGCCTTTAACCTGGGCCCTTCTCTTTGCGCCCTCTTTTTTTCTTGTGGTAAACCCCTGCCAGAGGAAAAGAAAGACCACCGGTTAAACTAAAAGCAGAGAGCTTTATTAATGGCAAAAGGGTGCTTTCAAGATGGAGAAACATAGCCATAATCTCTTGACAATGTGCTCCAAGGAGCTACAGAGTCCTGGGGGTTCAGAAAGGCCACGCCTATGACTAAGGAGTACAGCTGGGGTCTTTCTGATTGGTCAACACACACATATTTGTAGGTGCCAGGCTCGTGGGTTGGCAGGGGCTAGCGCCTTTTCAGGGATTGGCCTTCTTTGTCAGGATGGCTCCAGGTGACAGGATTTCAGCCAACCACATGTTTTCCAGCATGAAAACATTGGCAGCCTGTGTCAAACTGAGTTACAGTAGTCTTATAAGGGTGAGTTCTATTGAAATTCTAAAGGCAAAGAGTCTGTTGAAGGAACAGACTAGTGACAGGTAAAATTGCTAAGTATTCTAAGGCTGAAGGAGTGAAAAGGGGATTTTGATGTAGAAAAGTTAT